AAAATCTAATATTAAAATCTCCATAATATAATTAGAAACTTTCAAATTTGTAACCTATTTTTGAAAATAGACCCTTGTGATTTTTTGTTTAATTTGTAAATCATGCAAAGCATGACTTTAGCAGCAAAAACAGGCGCAAATACAGATGAAGCACATATGCTTGTCTCAGTGTATATGAAGTTGTGTGTGAAATTTTTAAAAGTAAAAGACGTTGCTTTGCAGATCTGAAAGATAACTCATGATAGCTACCTTTGAATTCCCCTTCTTATGCTCATACAGAACCAAATCATCTCTCATTTACAGACTACTAAAAGGCACATGTCCTCCTCTGTACTCGTCCTCAATTCCTCCTACCGTCTACCGTAGCTCTGTTCCAGCCACTGCCGCACATCCTTAAGATTGTAAAAAAATGGCCCCTTGCCACCCAGGTAGGCAATCTTTTTTTGTTGCACTATACACACCCGTTCATTGGACACACCATAAGCCACATTAGCATTGTTGTCCATGCAGTCGGCCACGAGCTGACACTGTGGCGGCAGAGAAAAGTGCTCAATCAGTTTGCGCGCCGCTCCCATCCTCTCCTCCAGGTTCTGGTGTTTCCGGAAACTGAAAGAGCAAGAACCCATAGGAGGAGCCACCCAGCCGTCAGACGGGTGAGCCTCATCAATGTACACTAGCACGAAATCAGCCACATCACTGAAGTCCTCCACCAACTGCCGGAAAGCTGGCAGGTGGCTGATGAATGGGGGTCAGGTGGCGGAGCCAAAGTTGACCACCAGAGGGCGGTCTGATGACTCCAAATCCAGAAGGCGGCACTCATCCCCATTTTGGATCTTGGCACCACACGGGACATTAGTCATGTTACTGATAGTGCTGCTCCATCGAGGGCCATCAGGTACCTTCACCACCTTAGAGTTGGGCGCCTCACAGCCAAGTTTGACCTAATGAGAAAAAAAAGACATAGATTGACATTTATTCACACAATGCACACGTTGAGGAAACAAACAAGAAGTAGAAGTGCCTTTATGTTTTGATATGCTTTTTGTGCTTCTTCTAAAACTATGCATGATGTCCCTGCTGGAAGACAACACATCTTTAATTTATTTACAAATGCTTATATCAATAATATGCTCATTTACAATTTGAGTGACATGTTTAAAAAAAGGTCATAAGTGTGTTGACAATACACATTTATTCCAGCATGATGTGACAACATTCCAAAGAGCTTCTTATCATTCCAGGAAGACTTTGTCAGCCTTCAGGTGACACATAAATGTTTATTGTAGATGTAAATCAGTCAGGTGACTGTGGAGGAAAAGTCCATGACAGTCAGAACTCCTTGGTCTTCTTCCTACAGGTCAAAGCTTTGAGGTGTGTTTGGTCTCATCATACTGCTACAATATGAATCCTTCTCCACAAAGACATGAACCGGATAGACAGTAACATTACATTAACGGGACTATATATATGCCTTTATACATTTCTATTTGGAGCTGCAGTGTGTGATTCCACAGATGCTGCAGGTCACTAAATAAGATTGCTTCATCTGTTCATTCGTCTTCCTTTCATATTAGTTTTATTCACTGGCAAAAACAAGTAAAATATTTGGTTTCAGTTATTGTCTTAACATTTAAATTTGTATGTAGTTGTAAAAAAAAATGTAATTTACAAATATTTTGTCATAGTTTTCTTTGACAACATTAACGCTGCTACAAAAAAAATGATTTGGGGAAAATATTAAATTGCGATTTTTCTGACAGATATTTTACAGGACAGATCGTTTTAAAGGTGACTTCTGCTGCATATTTACTGTGTGACAGATTTAAAATGTGACGGAGCATTACAACATGAGGCACCGTCAAAAGCCAGACCGGCACACAAGAAGGACGACGTGTAGAAGTACTGTCAGGACTAAGTTATTAACACTGGGTCAAGCATGTAGCCTTATATATGAAACCGCAACCTTTGCAATTTGTTAAATGCATTGATTCAAATTGCGATTTCCATTTGAAATTGATTAATAATTCAGCACAACAGCCTTGAATATTCTCAGCAGCATGTTAAACTGATTTTGATTCACTGTGGTACCTTTCTCTTGGGCTTCTTACATACACCCTTCTGTTCACTTATCTCATCACAGTTATCATTGTCCACTGTAAAATGCTGTCTTAGCCCTTCCTAAGTGTTCAGCCGTGTTTCCCCTCTCTCCTCTGTGGACGTAGTTGAAACCTTTTAACCAAAATATGTTTCCAAAGAGTAGCCACTGCTTCCCTTGATGCTTTGCAAACTGTTCATCACCTGGATTGGTTTTCAGTGAACAGGTGTCATTTTAATTTCTTGTTTTCTAAATGCGTTTGAAGTCATTTTTTTGTGTCGGTAGTGTTGGAATACAGCAAACAGTCCTATTCAACTAAAGTAGTTATCCATATTATGGCAAGAACCGCCTCCCTCAGTGAAAGGAACCAACCGTTCATCATTGCTTTAAGAAGGTGAGTCACATTGATAAAGTTTAACAACTTTGAAAGTTTTGTCAAATAAAACTGCCAAACCTATTAAACTCTGAGGTGAAACTGTCCATTCCAGGAGAGGAAAACCAAGAGTTCTCTGTGCTGCAGCGGAGAAGCTCATTAGCAGCCTCAGAAATCAACAGTTAACAGCAGATCGGATTAGAGTCCACATCAGTGCTGTCAGAGTTCAAGTAGCGAACACATCTCAACAACAACTGTTGGGAGGAGACTGAATGAATCAGGCCTTCATGGTGGAGCTGCTGCAAAGAAACCACTACTCAGGGTGTCCAAGAAGAAGAAGAAGAGAACTACTTAGACCAAGAAGCACAAGGAATGGACCAGAATCAGGAATCAGATCAGTGGAAATCTGGACCTTACTCAGATGATGGAATCTAATCGCCAAAGATTCCTCACATATTTCTTCAGGTTTTCCTTTCTCTGTACACCACAAGTCATTTAAATTCTTCTCTCTGAAGTCTCTTGTTGAGAACAGTAATTCTTTGAATAAAAAAAAGAAACCGGCAGTCAGAAGAGTTTTGCTTCGTTTTCATCATGTTTTACATTTTAGAGAAAAAATTTTAAAAAAATAAAACTATGAAATAATAGATCTTTTGGAAATAATAAAACTGGAATATGTCATATTTTAGATTTGTCACTGCCTGGGCAAAAACAGCCAAATGTTATGTGTCTGTGAGCTTCAAAGAAGGTGAATGAATGATATCTGCATGTGTGGTTCCCACCATGAGGCACAGAGCAGGCCACGGTGGTTTGCCCTTTGCTGCTCAGACTGTTAGAGGTTTATTCAGAATTTAAGGCAACACTTAAGCAGAACAGGTATGTAGTTACTGTAGACGGAGGGCTCAAGGGCAGGTTTTAGATTAGAGGTTTGGATACAGGCAGTCTTGAACTGTACAGCAACACAGTCAATGGAAAGCTACGTGTACTATTTGTTGTACTACGACTACTACTACTCCTCTTAATGGTCTAAGTTTGATTGTGCCAGGTATAGTAGCGTATTTGTGTGACTGATGGGAGCCACACAGTGAATGAGTAATAGCCTTAGTGGTCCTAATGGGTAGGTACAGTTACTGGAAATTCATCACACAAGTGACTATTCGCAAACACTTGAAGTGTAGGTAAGGAGGAGTGACGATAAGGATGGAATAAAACCTAACAAATCACCAGCTTGGACTGCAGTAAAATAATGTTGGTGCAGTCATCACAGGTAAGCTATCCAGATTGTATTATCGCTGCTCTGTGGCCTGTTTTAGGGTTAAAGGAGGTCAGAAATCTCATGAACCAATGACAATTAAAATGTTAATCAATAAGTCGTGACCTTAAAAGTGACAGAAAGGTAAAACAAACATCCTCCAAGCACAAACTGTACACTCCAGATAATCTTAAAGGGGGATCTGATAGGAAAAATAAACACCCGGGTGCACCCTGGGTGTGTAAGGGCTCTAATGGTCATTAAGACTAAAAAAAGAAACATATGGTTTTCCTTTTCCATAAACAAAAATTTGTTCCATAGGAATACAATTTAATCTTAATTGTGAAATTAGTTTTAAGTTATGATTTCAATCCTGAAAGCAGATGTAAGACTCAGTAGGACAAAAAGATGTGGAAATCGGTGTTAACGCAATAATAAAGTGAGCAAACAGATTGGTAAATCATGATAGACAAACTGCCCTCGGATTCAACTTCATGACCTCAGTGTTGTCTGATATTAAGTCGGGAGAACACCAAGTACTGGACTGTTTGATAAATTATCAACATGGACAGCCTGGATGTTCTTTACCTTTGCTTTTTTGGGGGGTTTTTTTTGTCTGACAATGTTTAATCATAAAATAAAAAAATTGATCTGCAGCTCAGCATCTTGGTTAAAGAGTGCTGGTCAGGACGGTAATCTTCAGTTTTGTACCGGTTAAGTTGTGCGACAATAGAAACGGATATTACAGACATGAGAACGGTGTAATGTGTACTATGCACACAGTATTGGTGATAAGAGGGATCAAGTGGGGCCTGAACATGGTTTAGCAGGTTGTGCCTCCAGGAACATCAAAGGGAGGAGAACAGGGGAACATAGCTGGTCCCCATCATCGGTTGGGGACAGGAACTAACATCTTTTTTGTGTGTGTGATGTTGGAAATTCACACAAGTTAACTGTAAAAATATTTTTCAAATGATGGAAGACAAGAAATAACTCTTTTCTACAGTGTTGTGATAAGTTTGACTGATACAGCATTCTGTTTTCTACATTTGATAACTCAGAATTAATAACTATTCAGCTTAACTCCTTCATGGATTGACTGAAAGGTACACACAAGCCTGGACCTTGAGAGTCCAGGTGGGACAAAGGGGGACAAGGCTGAGGTCCCCCAGTCAGACTGCATACCTATGGGCCAAGCTTGTGCCATGCCACAGCTTCCCCCCTTCTTCTACCTCCTTCACACTAACTACAAACATGAAAAACAAGTTGTGCTGTCGGCTACCTGTATGAGGACAACAATCAAACCAGACTTTGATGAAGGTGTGGCCCGAAGGCACTGCAGGTTAGACAGGTGGGGACACAAAGCTGGAAGCAACAGTTTGGAGTTCAGCAGATCAGCCATTAAATGAAAGCGGGTTAACCGTAGAAAGTTAGCCAACTAGAGTTTCTACAACAGCAACTTTACCTGCTTGTATGCGTCCAGGAGGAAGCTGTTCCAGATGGAGCGGAGCCCCTCCGAGGTCAGCATGCGGCGCCACTCTCCGCAGCCAGCGGACCTGGAGCAGCTGAGCAGCGACACGGCGCGCTTCAGCAGCACCACGGAGTCGTACAGGGCGAGAAACAGACAGTTGGAGAAGAACCCGGGCAGTATCTGGAGTGTCACCAGCAGATCCTCGCTCGCCATTCCCATGTTGTCTTTCTGCGAATATACGACGAGTTACTAAAGAGCGTTCATTACGCTCAGCGCGGCGCCACAGGTCTTATTTGCTCTCCTCATACTGTTTGATCTGCGCCATGGACTGCGCCAGACTGTGCGCAGAGAAGGAGTCAAATGTAGGAAGTATAAGTTGTAAGGCGGCCTTATCTGCTCTGCTCTCCTTTAGTTCGGCGGTGTGCGCACCGACGACAGTCCTGTGGCGCACTATGACTCTTTTTAAAAGGATGGACATTGTAGTTAATATTAAGCCTCCCGGCTTATCTCTGCAGCAAGATTGTGACGTCAGCTGCAGGCCCGGTGCAGACCTTGTGTCTCCTCCTTTCTCCTTCCTCTCCTCCCTCACTTGTGCACCGACACCGAGCTGAGCGCTTTCCTCTCTCTCTGTGGTCTGAAAACAAATGTGCAGGACTGAAAATGAATATATGAAAACATCCAGCAACACAACCCATCCATTTAGACTTTCATATACTATGAGCCTGTTTTAATCATCACTGTAGGTCACATATTTGTTGACCATATAAATTGTAGTAAGATGTAGTGTGTGACTTTTATGAAAAGTATTATTCACTTTGATCCTGGTCACAACAAAGTGTTCATTCTTCTGTGGTGTTAGTGGTTTAAATAAACTAAAGCCAGAACCCAAATGACTACATTAATGACCTACATATAAATAAATATAATATTAATAATAACAATAATGTGCTGCATAACAGAGTATACAACAGAAGTAGTTCTCATCTGTTTAATATTGCTTAACTTTTCAAACTTGTATTTCCTTACAGTAATCAGATTACTTCCAAGCTGAACATTAGGGGATTTGGTCTCGTGTAAAATTAAAAACTAGCAGTGTAGATGAACTATATTATCATTATCATATCAGTTTTCTGGACTCAGACATGTTGAACCAGGTCATGGTTTCCACTTTTAGAAACTCTTGTAAGATTTTGACAGTGTGCTTTGGACCATTATCCTACCAGAAAATCCTTCTTCTGCCAAGACTCTGCAGCCTGGGAGTCATCTCATCAGTAGTGTTTTACTGTATCCACAGACATTCATACACGTCTGTCATCACAGTCTTGTCTTCATTCTTCTCTGTCAGGACTGGACATTCCCTGCGGTCATCCTGGACAAATTTATCTGGGCAGAGAATTCACTCCCAATATTTATCAGGCTTCTTGTAATTTTAGATTTTTTATTTTATTTTGATAAATGAAGCTTAATTTTGCCGTTTTGTGCCAACCAGTGAGGGAGGGTGTTTTTCTTGAACACCGTACAGGAGGTGACTTTATCAACTGTCCTCCACACTGTCTGAGCTGCCAGAGAAACCCCCATGCCAAGTCTGAAGCATGCGCCCATCTTGTTTTTCTGAGATTGTGCAAGTAGTGCACAGTCCACGGTGTTCTGATTTTACGAGGATCGCCACCGACGCTCTGATTATTGGTGCTACGGCTTGTCCTTTACCTCCTGACTACTGCTTCAACAGGTGATCAGTCCTCCTGTATTTGTTTCCATGTTTGTGAAGTCTCACAATGAATTTTTAATCCCTCTGGGAATTCTTTTCTATATGAACCTATGATGCACAAATACAGATATAGACACAGTTCATAAGGTCCATGACTGAAGTTCTGGTGCTCAGATCATGTTCATGCAGTTAGGCGGACTGAGACTCACAGAGGTGCTTAATCGGTTTCAGTGATCACAGGTGCATTGAGGCCTTTCTGAAGTATTTGTTTAAGATTGTGCATGAAAGGAAATAACCTACTTTTCAACTTAGAAATAATGCAGTTATTAAAGAGGTGATATCATTTTTGAATGATTAAACATTTAAGTCATATTAAACAGCGGTGCACTCACTTCTGCTGCATACAGCACTAAAACAACAACAACAAAAATACATTTATTAACTGACTTCTTAAAGCAACAGTACTGACAATATTACCTTCATGATTACAACAATCTGCGTTATGGTGCTGTGTCTTGATTGAGATTTAGGAAAAGATTGAAATCGTGGTTAAATATTTTAACAATCAGTGCTTAAATGAAGCAGAATGCATAAACACTTAAGTCATTTCCTAAAAAGTATTATCCTTCCCAGATTATTAATGAAACCACGATGTACACAAGTTTACACAGCCAACGTTAGTGTTCCAGTCTTATTCTGGTTATAATCAAATCTGACGTAAGTGGTTATTTCTATTTGCAAAGCCAACAAAGAATATGAGATTTGGTAAATCACAAATGGTAATTTCTGATTTTTTATTTTTTATTTTTTTGGTACAAGTATCTGATTAACATATGGACAAAATAAACTACATTGCCATGCCACTATTTTATTTAGATTTGATTTATTTTTACTGTAACTGGCTTTGCTGAGGTAGTTGATGATGATGTTTCTTGTCTTTAGTTTTCTGTTGGACCTGCAAAATGTGAAGCAGAGTGTGTTTGACCAGGAGGAGGAGATATGGCTGCGTTAGCCTGCGATCACACTGTTGTTGATATCACTCTGGAGAAATAAAGCGCTTATTAAAATGATTTTCTTTCCAGTAATGTTTATGGTTCTACATGTTTATTGTCTGTCAATATTAGTTCTAAAATTAGGAGAAGAATAAAAAAACTAAATCAGGATTGATGCTCTTGTCTTCACTTCTAAACAAATACGAATCATTCTACCTTTTCAACAAGTACATGTGAATATACAGGCTATATTAATGTCAACTTTCAACTTCAACTTTATTATCCCCTGAGGGAAATTTGTTCTTCAGGCAGGTAAAACACACAAAAACATAGAAAACACAATCACAGTCAATCACATCCAGACACCACACATTGAATATGACTTCTATTGTGTTGTGGTTTGTAACAATAACACACAACTGATTGTGTGACTGCGTTAAACATTTTGATTATTATATTTTGCAACTTTTGAATGGATTTTGTACTGATTCTGGAAAAGGTATTAAACTGTCTTTCTTGACATCTTCAAAAAGTCTGAACCTTAAATTTAAATTTCTACACATGGCAATGTGTTGTGAAAGTGCCCCTAACAGATGATTCACTGACCAGTGTTTGGTTCCCACTGTTATCTACTTACACTAACTATTACTGGTACTAAAATTAAAATATTTGTTTTTCATTTTCTTCCTGTTTTATTACATTTTCACACAGAACAAGATTCACTAAAAACATTGACAGTACTAGTTAGGTTAACATTTAAAGAGACAAAGTTTGATCATCTTGGATTAACACTGACAGACTCACATGTACTCTACAGGAAACAATACATTGGAACCTTTTAGTAACAGACTTTGACAGATTTATTAGCAGATATTTACATGCATGTGCTAAAAACTCTTCTTCTTCTGGGAAAACAGGATGACGCAGAGACTTCGTTAAGGATGTTACAAGTGTGGAAAAGAATCTTCAACTGACCCAGAAAACCCTGAATAAACGTTAATGTTTAACGTTTGCGTGCCACAAAAGTTAAAGTAGTTATTCTGTGTTTATCTATATTGAAACTTTCATTTCTGTGTACTTTTAAAAATGTTTAGTTATGTGTATGGTAGCTGTAATTTTGTAGTTCGCTGTAGGGTCTTGGAAACGGGGCCCTCTTTAATTGCATAAAATGAACGTTGGCTTTTCTTTTTTTTTTAAAAAGTAAATGATTTTAAACCCATGTTTCAGAAGTCTGCTACCGAACATAAGACACTTCTTCCAGTTTGCATTTCAAAGACCCCAACAGACGTTAAATGAAAGGTTTATCTGCGCTGAACCTGTGAGTGGGGTTGGTAGCAGTTTTATTTTTAAGAGTACTACGTCTCCTAAATCCACAAAATGAGGTTGTTTGAATTGGCTAGGGTTAGAGTTAAGGCTGCGTTTAGGTTAAGGTTCAGTAGAACAAGGAGCAAGGAGCTGCTGCAGTTCCGGTGACACAACCACAGGCGTTACTGAAATGAACTGCTGGAAGACCCACAACACATATACAGATGTACAGGGAAAAAGTTAATCTGAGTGGATTCTCAAAGCAACAATTTTACTGAATTGCTATTATCACCAACTGAATTGGTGTCGTTGTCAGCTGAGCGCTCAGCTGTGTGTCCACAGCTTGTTACTTCTAGGCTGAAATAAAAGGGAAAATCAGCAGACACAAACGTGACCTGATGACTCAGAAGTAAATAATAAGCTGCCCTTAACCTTTGTACAGTGATTGCATGGACTAGTTTTGTTTTCAACTGAATGCAGCGGCATGGATTATCAACAGAGTGGACGTATGTCCCAAAGGGAAGAAAACTAGAATCAGTATTGATCAGTGCTGTCAGGCAATAATGAGTTCATTTACTGATGTATGTTATATTTGATGTATTCACAAACAGAAGTACATATTAAAGTGTCTTTAAATGGGGACATGTTCACTTATTGACATATGAGGTGTATTCAGTTAGTGATGTGACTGCTCAGGAGAAAGAAACAGGGTAATCCACCCCTAATCATTCACGTATGTGTTTGTTTTAAGTGCAGCATTGCTAGAAGTGTGCCACTTCCTGAAAAACAACCTTGTGAAAGAGGAAATAAATGTTGCAGTGCTCTAGATGACAGAGGAAAAAAAGAACAACGTGCAAAGAAAAATAGGTCATATGCTTAAAACTAATTATGATTATAATTCCCATGAGTTAGTAATGGTAATTAATCAGTTAATTAATCATTCACATGCCTAGTATCCACTGCTTAACAAGTATGTGCCCATATGGTAAATGCCCTAACTGCTCAGCCAGCATGCTGCCCAATACTGTATCTTTTTGAGACTGACATAGCTTAAATTAAATTAATTAAATCCCTGCCTCAATTAATATTGCTTACTGGAATTTAGTTTGAGAGAACCAGTCTTCTCGCTGGCTAACATCTAGATTAGACGGGATGAGCACTGATGGAGATCAGTTTATTACCTAGACTTTGTCCCATTCATTATCTTTTAAACTTGTGATCTAAGATATGAATAAAGAATGCATCTGTGTTTGACTACGCTTAGATTTACAGATG